TTCAATTCGTTAAGCTGGACAAAGCGCTTTCAGACGAGGACTGTACCGATTAGAGAGTTGCATTCTTCTTCTTGTACAGGGTTCGCTTCTAGGACTAGTGCAGCTCATTGACCGCCACAGACCGTCTTTCCGGCAACTGATAGTAAGGAACTTTCTTTTGATATTTTTATTTATGGGTTTTAGTTCTTGACAATTGGGTGTTGTTTAATTATGTATGGAAAATGCAATTTCTTTGTTTGAAAAAAAAAAAATTATGGAGTCCTCTGTCCTCTGTTTCAAGTCTGAGCCTTTGCTCTCTTTGCTGCTACCCTTAGGTTCTTTGATTTATGTTTGTAGGGATAAGGATTTTGTCAAACTTGGTTATTGGTTTTTGAATTCTTGCTTTGCCTTCAATTTTTTGGTGTTTAGGGAATCGATACTTTTGGAAGAAAATGGATATTTTCAAAGTTATTGGGGGTATATCATAGATGGACAAATAATACAGTTTTCAGTAGCACTGACTAGTTTATGACACGGTTTTGATTTCGATCACTTAATTTGAATAATTTTGATTGCAATCCAGGGATGGAGGAGGGCTGCTTAGGGGATTGGGTGTTAGATTTATGACATTTGGTGTAAAGATGTCAATGAACCAACAGCTTCCTCACTTGTCTGGTTCAATGACTTTATACTCCTTGTTTTCGCTATTTATCCATTTGAGTTTCTTCCTCTAATTTGTTAAACTTAACTTTTTCACTTTTCATGGATCACATAGTTTCTGCAATTTTAAAGACCTAATTGCCAATTGCAGCTTTTGCATTCTTGAATGTTGTTTTATATTTAAACTAATATTTTGCATTTGAACCTGTCCTCTAGCATGATCTGCCCGGTAGACTTCTTTCTGTGTGCATAGCACAATATTCACATCATCACTCTTTTTCTAGTTGGTTTTGATTTGTGTATTCTATGATTTCCCTTTTTGTTTGGTCATTTAACTGCACCAGTGGATGAGTCCTAAAACACTTTTCTAAGAGAATGGTAAACTTACTCCGTTAATCCAAAATTCCCTGTATGAGGCTATACACGAGGCTTTCACCCGTGCATTTTCAGGTTTACAAAAAATTAATGACAAAGCATTAATGTAACTCAACTAAGTAGTTAAGAGACTAACTGAAACTAGGTGCAGAATTGTAATTTCACTGTCATTTTTTAAAACTCTTCCCTTTTTTTCCTGCCATATGAAATAAACCACAACTGCGAGAAGAAGCCTAAAGAGTCAAAGCCATCCTTCGTCTACCTTTAGGTCCTTTGCCCCCATTCTAATGACCAACTCAAAGGATTTCTACTTATAATTGCTTCAAAAGTATATCCTTCCCTACTTTTTTTACTGCATTCACATTTGAAGGAAGGACAACAGCAGGATTCTTCAGCATGCAAGCATAAAACACACCGTGTATCAATTATCATTCCCCTGCCCTCTGTGCTAACATCCATGCTTTCTTTGAAGTTGGTTCAGAACAATTAGCCAAATCAAGAACAGTGCCTAGGTAAACCTTTGCTAGATTGATTAGATTTGAATTTTTATGAGTTATGTTTATAAGTCAAGAATATGATCCAATTATAGATTACAATCATGACTTATGTTGACATTTAGGGAATGCTGTGTACTCTGTCAAAGTTGAACCATTTTTGTTAATAAACTTTCTTGCATTAGTTTTTTTTATAAACTCTAACTTTTATTTGTATTTATTTGACCCCGCCTGGTTTCAAATGAGCATTAAAACTTATCTATGCTGAATTTTTGTCGAATCTTAGCATCACTCGAGAATTTAACAAATTTTGAATGGTTGGATCTCTCCTCCAATAATTATTGATTTAAAAAGAAGAAGAAGCAGAAGAGGGAGCCCGACGTCAAATCAAGTTATGTAACATGTCTGGCTTTTGAAGGAACAGAAGAGAAGAAA